GCGCACACAATAACACCTGATAATAATCTGCAACGATAACAAATATTAATGCGCTCTCCTCTCGCCTGTTACCTCTTTTCTGTCTCTCATCTTTTCGCTTTTCGCTTACGTTTTCAGGTCAAGGCTGGCGTTGGGACCGATAATGAGATCTTTCCCTTTTTCCTCTTATCTTTATGGCTCTGTTTTTGGACGATTTCTGCTAAGCACACAGTCATAAAATAGGAAATCAACGGTCCTTGTATGCTTTTGTCACACAGGGGAGCTTATTTTCTTCTTTATGTGTCTCTGTTGCACCTAAAGTTTGTTCAGCTATTAATTGAAAATTAGATGCATTAACATTTTACATAGAAAATCACACAGTGCATGATTTACTCACATTTTGTTTTAGCTTCAGACCAATTTAGAATAAATATTGTTTTTATTTCTCGTGCATATCTAAGCAACATGGCGTAGTTGTGTTACAGATGATGTGAAAGTAGTGTGTGAACCTCGGTTGTTTAGTGTATGATGTGCCATTTTTCTCTGTAATTTTTACAAATTCAGCAAATGTATGATGCCAAAAAAAAAGTTGTGAAGTGTATTCCAGCCTTTTATGTAACCATTTTACGTTGTGGTAGTTATGAGTATATTACTTAAATTACACCATATAAATTACATGTTGCTTCTCTATTAATGTCATTTAATGAACTTGAATCCCTTCTCTAGTTGTTTAGCTGTAGGCGACAACAGATTGCTCCATTATAATAAATTATTATCTACAAATCTGTTTCAAGCAGCACAGTGTACATGGGTAAAGTAGTTGCATGTAAACTATGAGGAGTAAACATTGCATAAAATACTATTCAGGAAAACAACCACAACCCAGGTGTAGAGCTGCTTACAGTTACACAAACATAAATCATATATTATTTTCCATAAAATACGTGATTTTTAAGCCTAGACTGTAGGGCTATACGATTTGGGGGTGGGGGACTCTAATTAAAAAAAAAAATCTACTATTATTATTGTTGTTACTAACGCAAAAAAAACACAGTGCTGTGCTTCACCCTTGAAATATGATGTGCATTAATTTAACTCGCATTCTTTTTGACTTGATAACCACGTTACGCCATTTCGCGATTTCAATTTTAATTTTGATTAATCGTATATCCCTACTAGACATGATCTGCCGACATCTGTAAAATTAATGTGCTGCACTGTTGGTTGCTGAAAGCAGAAATTTGCCAAAATATTTAATAAATGACCACGCATGGAATGTGTAAAATGTTGTGAATGACAGGTGTTCCCCCTGAGCTTTCTGTAGGAGTAACGCAGTGATCTTACTGTTAACGATGATTCCCAGCATTGTCTTCAGTAACCTTAGCTTGCCCGCTCAATTCTTCTATCCCAGCTGCAAGCAGGCCGAACGTGTGGCAACGTTAGTCCTTCCCTCTCCTCCAGTTCTCCACTGTCTACGCTTAATGGGGCTTACAGCAGCGGCGCTCTGCCAAGCAGCGCCCTCACGCAGGCCCATACATCAGCCCCCGATGAGGCTCATTAACCCTCCTCTCATGACTCAATACACTCCTCCTCTCTCCCTCACTCGTTCGTCTCCATCACGTCTTCACTTTTCCCCTGGCCAACGTGTCAGACTCCAGTATCCCAGGAGTGTCGTCACAGGTGACGAGATCATGAGAAGTTAAATTGGGCCCTCACCTAAACCCACCCCGGACCCTGGGCGTTTTCAATGCTCAATTAGGATGTGATATTTTTTTTTTTATATACTGCTTCTTGAGGAATGTGCTCACTTTTTGTGAACTTGCATAGTAGTGATATACTGATATATTGGCACGGTCAATTTTTGATCATCGTTAGCCACATTTGAACTCTTTCAGTCATTAGTAGCGCATATGTCTGCATTATATTGAACATGGGCATCCCTGATCTATCGGTATCAATGTTGATATACGTTGATCGCTAATCATAAGCTATTCATCTACTTCGGCGGTCATCATGTGTGTTTCTGATCTTTGTCTTGTGACCTCTCAGGTTGCGCTTTTCCTTCTTGCGTAGAGGAGTTTTGCATTATTATGCCTACTTAATTCTTGGCCAGGTCTGAAATCCAGGATCCCTAGCTCACTCAGAGGCCTTGAGATGGAAAGCCTGAAAGCACCTAGCGTAGCATTAGCACTAGCTCGTGAAGACGCGGGACTTTTCTTCCCAGTGTGTTTGCCCTACAGTTGAGCAAACACCCGTCTGACGGATCGCCCCGCCTGCCCCCAGTGACCCACCGTGGCATGTTTTGATTCATCAATTATGAAATAGTTGCACGGTCCAAACCTACACAAAAACACACATGAAAGGGAAACATATTTTATGATGTATGAATATTACTTCCAGTTATTGTTACAGATGTCTTTATCATTAACCTTGTTAAAGTTGGCGTTCGTAGGCCAGGAGAGCCAAAGAAAATACTTTTGTGGGTTTTTGTGAAATATTCCACTTTCTATGGGCTTTGGTTCAGTGGCTCATGTTCAAATCCGAAAAGCAATTTAAAAGCAGTACAGAGCCCCGAAACACTGATTGTCCGGATAGGGCCAAACAGAGGCCACGGACGGGGACCCGGGACAGTCTGGGTTCAGCGGGCTCTCCATCAAAACCTGAAACAGAAGCTGGTACACAGCTTAAGCAGTATCTTCTTGTTTTCCAGTCATAAAAATTTAATTTGAAGCCAAATTGCAAGATGTAATTTTACCTAATTTAAACTGAATTACATTCATGCATATACCTCACCCCTTGACTGTTTGTTCATTAATTATGTTTTACGCTACCGGGACACATATTTAACACACATTACCAAATTTAAATCCATTGCACAAACGTCCACAGATTTTCCCCCAAAACCAGTACAGAAAAGGTTTGCAGAGTCCCTCGGCCTGCCAATGGGATAAGAAAAATAAACACAACAGTTACATTCTCGATTATCAAACTACGATTATCTTAGTATCCCATGCTAGTTTATTGTGTTATGCAATTTTGCTTCTCAAGTTCTTATTTTAAAGATCTTTAAATGTTTTGACTGGAAAACAAGACAAAAATAGTGATTATGGTAATTGATAATCCACACACATGCTTCAGCTCCCTTTATTAATCTTTTCCTGCTCTCTTTGTCTCACACTGTTTGAATAATTAGTCCTCTTGATGAGAGTATATTTTTGTCTTTTTAAATCATTTGAATGAATATAAACAGTCTGCTGGACACATTAGCATCTGTTTCCTGTGTGTGTGTGTGTTTTAGTTAGTTAAGAGGCACCTGCTTCTGCCATGGCATATTTCCTGGCGTGCTTGGCACTGCCAGCACTAAGGAATCCCCCTTCCCTCCTCTCATTTCTCCACATCCCTTAGCCAAACCTCTACGGAAATCATTTGGAAAAAGGATTTGAGCATTAAAGATAACCACACCTGTGATTATCATTAGACAGAGGTGCTGTAAAATGTTAAATCCCTCTCTTTAGTTTAAGTTTCTTTTAATGAGCGGAAAATTAAACCTTTCGGGCAAATTCCAAGTGTTGAATTTTATATAACGATTTAAAAAGAAGTGCTTGGTGAGGTGATTTGTTTTCAGTAGTGTTTTAAGGGCTAGACGGAGAAGGACCCTCTTACTAGGGTCTGGATCCTCATGAGGTCACGTGTCTGCTGTCTGCAGCATCACCCCCACAGCTTTCTCATTTCTCATTGTCAGTTTGATTCGTTAGACTCCCTTCTCTTCGGGCTATTTAATCGTTCTCTGGACGCTTGTTACCTTTGAGTTTTCAACACTGGACGAGAGTGAAACCAGTGTGCTGGATGGTACATCACTGTAGTCTCACTTAGCCAGATCTTCAGACTGACTGCAGAAGGTCTGAACTCCATCACAGCTTTCATTGGCCAAGGACCGCCCAAGCTGTAAAGCAACTGTAAAGCAACCAATCACAGTTCGTTTGGTTCCGCGTCATGTTCAGGGGCGTGGAAATGTAACATCAATTTCCTTACTATAAGATCAGCGTGCATCTAATAAATGAATCATTCAAGAACGTTGTGCAAGTTTACTGCAGCAATGGTGGCGTGGCGTGAACTTCACATACTTTTGAACATCCAGCGTTCAGTTGATCCTGATAAGCACTTCTCGTCAATGACAGCTTTGTTTCCAGGCAGAACGTTAAAGAATGCGACACGCGCGTGCGTCTCCCGTAAATCCTGACGAATTCAACCAATCAGATGGCGATTTTGAAACTCCCGAATTGTTTCCCGTTTTGTGTGCCTTTATACATCAGACGTCGAAAACTGAGACTAGTCTTGTTGTATTATATTAAGCAATATTAGTGTTACATTTTATTTTAAGGTGTTACATTGTAATTAAACATTTAAGTACTGAGTAATAACAATAAAACTACATGCACTTACTATAGGGTTATGGTAAGGAATAGGAGTTGGTTTAAGGTTAGTTAACATTTAACGTGATCAGCTCTACCAAACGTGGATGTTTTTCCACTAAGAAACGAACATCGTTATTAGGTTTTGATTGATACTGTGAAGCTGCTTTGATGCAATCTATATTGTGAAAAACGCTATATCGATATACTTGACTTGAACAATAACACTGTAAAACCTAATAGTGCTACTATTTTGTCAAGATGGGTGTTGGGCTTAATGCAAAGCGGTGAAATCACTGTAACACACGTGAAAGTGAAACCGCAGAATCAGGAATATTATAGTATCTATTTTGTTGATTATTTTGCAAATGTTGAAATTAGAGTCTAAAATTAACATTCGGCAAAATTGGCTTTGAGTAAATGAAACATTGTATGATTCCAGTTGAATTGTAAGAATGAAAATATGGTGCATCTTCTAAAAAAAAAGTATCTACCACGTCAGCTTGATGCTTTAGGTTTTTGCTTTAACTCTGTGCTTGGTCATTTTATATCTCTGATTTAGTAAATGTAATATTAATAAACACTTGTTTTATCTCTGTGTTTCCCCAGCTGGAATCTGAGCTGGAGCAGTGTGAACGCGAGAGCGCCGAACTGCAGGAATACGCAAACTCCGTCCTGCAGCAGATCGCCGATCACTGCCCGGACATCCTGGAGCAGGTGGTCAACGCTCTGGAGGAGTCGTGCTGACTGGACCTCAGTCTTGCCCCCTCCTCTCCTCCTCCTTCTCCTTCCCTTTCTTCTGTTCATTTCACAGGACGCCAGAACACAAACTCCCTCACCCTCACCCTCACGCACAATTCAAAGGACTGACACATACGGGAGAGACTGACATCTCGCAAGTCAAGTGCACGCTTGGATTGGCTTTGGGGTGTGGGAATGGTGGGCTTTCCTTCTGCCATCCCCTACCACCACATTCATCCTCTCTGCTCCTTCAGAATCCGGTTTACGCTTACATAAACACGGGAAAGAAGGAACCGAAAGGAGGAAATGAGCAACAGAGAAGCTCAGTATTATAAGACATGTTCACTTATTTAGTCTATCTCTGAATGGCGTCCTGCAGGAGGTGGTTCTCTCTGTGAGGGGCAGGAAACAGGCTCCTTATCTTGATATACACTATTGCCACTGCTCTTAAAAGCTGCTGGATTTTGAAACCGTTTTGAAGAAATTTAGACACCCCCCCCCCCTTTTTTTTTTTTTGTAGATGCTGACGTTAAATTATGGGTCATTCGCGCAGGGCAAAACTCCTGCACTTTCAAACCATCTGGTTTCACTCAAAACTTGGTTAATGCTCCGGTTGTGCCAGCAGACACTCCGTGAGGACTTAAACATACTTTTACTATCGTAGTCAGTAGCGGGTTTAGATTACTGCAGCCCCCACCATCTGGGAATTCACTATTGACTTGGTTACTGGCCGATTTTCTCCCAAAGTCGCGTTCATAAAAGTTATGAAACGGACAATGTGGGTAATGTTATCCCGTATGCACCTGTCACCAGCTAAAGAAACCACAGTCCTGGTTTGTGTCTGTTAAAGGTGAGAGGAAGAAAATTATTTGCCTTGGAAGTTGTAGGTTTATTGCTGCTAACATTTGTCTTTGCATGTGGCAGGTTTGGTTTGGTTGTGTTTTTCTTTTTTTTTTCCCCCCGTCCTGATGCCGAGGGCGGTAAAACAGTGGGTGTATTGCCGACGCAGATGTTGTGGACGTAGAAGTGCCTCATCATCAGAGAGCAGCTGCCACACATCACTGGAATAGGAAAATAGGCACCTATCACTCATTCCATACTCTGAAAACTATGTGGTCTCACACTGGGTTTCTCAGTTCGCTCCCTTTTGAGTTGGAAACTACGGGGTTGTTCTTTTTTGAATAAGAGTAGTTGTTTATTCCACTCTCTCTTTTTTTTGTTAAACAAATGCAACTTGTTTTTTTTTTTTGCGGTTGCTTTGATAACATCAAGCTTTGAGCGTCTCGCATGTACCATCATGCTACTCTGTCTCTTTGCTTGACTTCATACGATCATCCTCAGACCCGGGCGTCTCTGTTAGCACAGCCGGCAGGTGTATCCTTTTTCACTTTATGGTTATATGGGCCTGTATCCGTTGGCATCGGGTGTCCGTCTTTGGACGACCACAGGAGCGATAAGACACAACCTCGTTCAACTCGACGGCGGTTGCCTCATCGTGCGGATCGGCCGATGCTTTAAAGTCCAGAGTCAACTTCCCCTCCCGCTGCCCCTGTGGATGACACTGGGCGTAACATGCCCTCTGCTCCTCTCTCTCTATATCTCTTCATCCCTCCCTCATTCATGCCTGTGTGTAGTTTATGGCTCTGACCTGCTGTGCTGTGTTAGTCATACTCCTCTCCGCACGATAAGCTCCACAGACAAGACAAACAGCACGAGATCACAGCGAATATAATCATCTCTCTCCCACACGCCACACCTCTCCTCATGGCCATTCTCACTAGCAAACAGACATGTGATTTTGGGCCAGATTTGATTGACCTCCGAGTCGTTCTGTGAGTCACAGGCACAAATGTTTGTTTGTCTCTTGATTTAGATTTTGAAAGAAGAGTAGTTGGGTGAATCTCATGAAAACACATTAATATTGTAATTCTCAATGGTGTTGCTCATGAGATTCTGATTACAAAAAAATACTCTGCAAATCGTACATTTTTATTAAATGAATATTCAGTATTTTATTTCAATTAGCATACATTACAATCAAAAATTAAAACCAAATTGATGTTAGCATTTTACAATTTAAATATTTTTTGTCACATTACAGTTTTTGTGAAAATATTCTTGAAACAATTTTTTTTTTTTCTATGTCCCTGACCGGTTTCGTGAGATTCACCCAAATGCATTTATAAGTAAACCAAGCTTAATTTATGGATATATGAGGCCACTTTAACATCATATTCCCACGCTTATGTGGGCAATGCCAATAAAACGCCCGTTCGCGTGCCATTCTCACCCCTGGCACTGTACATCATATTGCAGTCATATATAATGCATCTCTATAAAGTATTTTATGCTCTTAATTACCACTTTATGAGGGCATGAATGTGACGAGCAGCTCTGTTGGGCTTTTAAAATGAAGCAGCTGATGGATGAGGCCCATCCTGTTTTTCATCTCTATCGCTTTCTTTCCGTCTGCTATCTTTCACACACAAACACAGTTTTGAGGCTCAGTTATCTGCACCGTGGCTGAATCTCCTCGCTTAGACTAAACACAGAGCCTTCGCGCACACACTCGCTATCACAGAAACGCTCTGGCGATTTATGTCCTTCAGTACAGGAGCTGGCCTCTTACCGCCGTCAGCTTAGAGCACTCCGGAGAATTCCCTAAGAAAACAAAAAGAAGGAACGCTGTGATAACCGGGATCAGATCAGAGAAAGAATGACCCGGCGCTTTTGCAGATGGTGTTATTGTGTGTTGAGTGAGTGTCTCTCTGGAGCTCTGCTATTTGTGTGATTGCTGGTTATAGGCAGACCTAATCACACAGAGGAGCATGGAAATTCCCTGCAGACTTCGGATCGCTCCGTATGTTCGGAGGCTTCCCTGTCTCAGTGTGTGTGTGTTTGAAGAAGTAAAGAGATCGACACCAGCGTTCTCTTGCTCTAGCTAGTCACCAAAGCTATTCTGTAGCACTTTATATGAAGCCTGTATAGATCACAGTATTTTGAATGCTAGTGGATTCACAATAAGTTATAACACTGCGTAATGGTGCTTACACCTTTAAAGACTCTAATGCATTGTTAATGCAAGCATTATAGTGCATTAAAACTAGTCGTAATTATTCATAAGTACATTAAACTGTTAAGAACACTTTTATAATGCATTGTATAAGCTGAATTGTTAGATGAACAGTTTGTATAATGCATTATAGCATGAATTCACCCTATACAGGCTTCATAGAAGGATATTATATTTATTTTGTGACCGTGATGGTGCATAGCTGCTTATAGCGTACGTGGGTTTTTTTTTTTTCGCACACCACTCCTGTTAATTTATAGCGGAGCCGCTCATAGGATGTGGTCAGCTGACTTTCCATAGCGTTTGGCTTTTTACGTCTACCTGGCTTGAAACTGTGTTCAGCCACGAGTGTGAATGAGCATGAGGTTTTGCTTCATGTTCTAGTATGAGCATTTTTCATCCTCATTAAACTCAGCGAGGCATGTCTGTGAAGGGTGAGAGAGAAAGAGCAAGCGTGGGACGGCCAGCCGCTTCTAATGCGTATATTTTCCAGTCTCACAATTTGCTGTCTAGATTTTTATTCAACCCGATTTTGTCCTATAACATAGACATTTATCAAAATGTCTACTTAAATCCTTTTTTTGTTTTTTTGAAGTCTATCCACGTCCCATAATTCTTAGCGTTAATCAGTAGTGCTGCGTTTTCTCCCGAGTTTTGTCATACTGATGCTATAATCCCATTTTATTTGTTACTAAAGACAAATACATTGACTCAACTGTGAGAACACTGCTAGAGACGTCTTGTACACGCATCCAGAAATCTATATTTATACATATGTTAATGACTGAACAATTTGCACAAGCGTCTGGGGAAGAGAATATATATCAGTCTGAACAAAATGGCTGTCTGCCTTTAAAAAGAAAAAGATCCAGAAACACTAACTTTTGTCTTGAAATGAAAATTAAAGAAGAAGCCTTTCTAAGTGTCAAATCAAAGCTGTTAATAAAGATTTTCGAAATGTGTTGTTGCTATCTCCTCCGCATCTCGCCGGGTTTTGATTCCAACCGTACAGCTGTTATTCTTTCCTGTTTGTTTTTGTTTTGCAGTCCTTGATAGTGTGTGTGATTGCAATGTTGAAAACTGCAGCGTGTTTTTTTTATATTACAAAACATGAATGACTGTTCTCGAGGGCCGGAGAAACATTCGAGGGGACCTTTGCTTGAGAACTGTGATCCTAATAGCACTCTGGGTTGCTGGAAAGTCAGTGTTATTTTAGGGTTTAGCATCGTTAATGCGTTTTCAGGAGATAATAAGCACGTTGCGTTGACCTTTTGGCTCAGATGATCAGCATCGCTCGTCACGAAGCCTCATTCGTCGTTCGTAGTCATTTATTGCACGCGTAAACACACTCAGATTTTTTATGGCCGCCTAAGTAGATTGCTTGTTAAATTGTTTACTTATTAACTCATCTCGAATTGTCATTATTTACCCAAACGGTCCGTCAACACGTCCACATTTTTCATGCGTTACTTCCCTCCACTTAGTTTGATGGACTGAGACTGTTTAAAGCATGAAACCACATAAAACATCCACTGAAGGATTTGGCAAGTTTATGTCTGACTTTCCGTTCTCCATCTGAGCGAATTCGGTGCCAAACGAAGCTAGTCAGCTCTAGAAAGTGCCACAAATAATAACTTGCCTGTCGTTCATCAGCAACCAAAGCCAGGTCACGTGACCTTTTACTGTTTATATCGTGTTTGCTTTCTATTTAAACCTTTAAACCTTAATTGACACGATAAGAGGTCAAACCGAGCTAGATGAGACACCAGAACAGACGCCTTTGTAGTGTATGAATGAAGCAGCATTATTCACAAGGACCTAATCTTCATTCAAACTCAATGTGGTATCAGTCATTGTTTAGACTGTTACAAACGTTCTGTGTGCCTATATAAGAGAATATGTAAAGTTGAGGTTGGCACTCGATGCGGTATCTTCTTTTTTCCTCTGGATTTTGTCCTAAGAGAGTGTCAGACCTCAATATCACCCCGTTCAACATGATGTTCTCTTGGCTCCAGCAACCCTGCCTTCTGTCACAGTAAAGGTCTGTCTTTTCTAATGATTCATGCTCCTTTTCTACACAGTACACTGAAACACTGTCAAGGAGGATTCTCGCCCTTTCCCCTTTAATTTAATGAAGAAAAATAAATGGAAATATGTCAACTTTAACCCAAAGCTCGTCATCTTTCATGTCTGTTTTTTTTTTTTTCACATTCACAAAAAATACTGCCTTATGTCTGTGTGGAAAGATGATTTCTGTAAAATAGGAAAAAGGCCTATTGTATTCAGCTTTTTGCCTTTGTATGTATATAAACTCTATCATTCAGTCCTTAATTGTGTTTTGGTCTTTTCTGTCAATTACGATGCACTTCGTATTTTACAGTTTGTCGTTCTTCTCCGTTCGGGTCTTATCTAGCGAAACGATCGGTCTTTTCAAAAATAAAAAAGTTTTATAAGCACACATGCTCGCCTTGCTCAACTATCCTGTTCGAACCCGTTGAACAAAAATGAACAAATTTTTTTTTCGAGTCATTTCGTTCGTTGAATGAATGAAATGACTCAAAAAAATGAGTTCGAACAGGAGAGTCACGAACGTGCATCACAGAACGACCATTTGCGCTTATAAAACTTAAACTTTTTATTTATTTTTGAAATGACTGACCATTTTGCTTCATAAGACCCTTATTCATCGTCTGGAATCGTTGGTAACACTTTACAATAAGGTTCATTCGTAACATTAGTAAATGCATTAACATGAACCTTATTGTAAAGTGTTACCGAATCGTTTAAAGCCCTTTGAACAGTTTGCACTGAAACTCTCATTTTTGGACCTTGAACCGTTTGGTTCCCATTGAAGTCCATTATATGGAGAAAAATCCTGGAATGTTTTCATCAAAAACCTTCATTTCTTTTCGACTGAAGAAAGAAAGACATGGACATCATGGATGACCTGGTGGTGAGTAAATTATCAGCCAACGGTTTTTTAAAGTGAACTACTCCTTTAAGTGGTAAAGATGTTCCCAGAATAATTGTTGGTTATGAAATCTGTTGATTATTGAATTGCTAGTATCCATAGAAACATTTCACTCGAATTGAAAATTGATCACGTTAGCCGTGTGTTCTATGCTTATCCATTATTTAGAATCAATTGAGTCATGTTTGGTGGCACATTTAGAGCTTTCCAAATGAGTCACATTATGACGTTCCATTTCAGTGAGGAAGCCACTTCAAAGAGTGGCTGCCTATGTAGACAGTAAACAGCAGGATCGCTCACTAAGTTGTGGATCAGAGCTAATGTGTTCTATAATTACTCTGAGTCAACGCATAAGAGTCACATCTGTGTAACCTGTATTGTTGCAGTGGCATCTCCAGTGTTCAGCGGGAGCCTCCCGTCGTCTTCTGTGCGTCTCTCCAGACAGAAAGGATCTTGTTTGATACCGATGCCCAACCCACAAAAAAAGGAACACAGATGGCCCGTCGAGATGTCTTGGTTTCCGCCTCCAGCTTTTCGCACAGACCCCCCAAGGACTGGATTTATTGCCGATTACACATCAGCACTTAGGCCACCCAGCAGAGTTCCTGTTCGAGTTTACACTCCTCATTTTACGATATACAACTTGCATGCAGTGTACATCAAGTAGTGACTAGAGCATGTAGAGTGGGAAAGATCCCATCGCTTTAGGGAAAATCACTGGCTAAACAACAGGCAATATGACCACTATTTAAGCCACCATTTAAATATGCCAATTTCAAGGGAATTTCCTCCTGGGAAGGCCTTACCTACTCAATTCACACTTTCAGAGTATGTGCTGTTCCGTGAAGAATTAACTTCTCAACTATTAATGAAGGACAAGGTATGCAGGTGTGTAAGTATAAATACATTTCCAAACAGGCCTCATCCATACTGCAACTGCACGGTAGGGAAGAGTCAGGGTTGTGCCGTTCAGAGTTGCCTTTTGAATTCCAATTCAGTTCCATATTTTGAATTAAAGGAGTAGTTCACTTTTAAAAAACACTTTTGCTGATAATTTACTCACCCCCATGTCATCCAAGATGTCCACGTCTTTCTTTCTTCAGTTGAAAAGAAATTAAGGTTTTTGATGAAAACATTCCAGGATTTTCTCCATATAATGGACTTCATTGGGAACCAAATGGATCAAGGTCCAAATGAAAGTTTCAGTGCAGCTTCAAAGGGCTTTAAACGACACCAGACGAGGAATAAGGGTCTTATCAAGCGAACCGGTCGGTCATTTCAAAAATAAATAAAAAAGTTTAAGTTTTATAAGCACAAATACTGTGAGTGACTCTCCTGTTCAAGCTCGTTCATCAAAATGAACAAATCTTTTTTTTTTCGAGTCATGACTCGGATAAGACCCTTATTCATCGTCTGGTGTCGTTTAAAGCCCGTTGAAGCTGCACTGAAACTCTCATTTGGACCTTGAACTGTTTGGTTCCCATTGAAGTCCATTATATGAAGAAAATCCTGGAATGTTTTCATTAAAAACCTTAATTTCTTTTTGACTGAAGAAAGAAAGACGCGGACATCTTGGATGACATGGGGGTGAGTAAATTATCAGCATAAGTTTTTTTTAATGTGAACTACTCCTTCGAGGAAGCAAACAGGATGCAAATTGCTATTTGAATTCAATGTCAGCGAGTATATTAATGAAGGAGTTTGAGGGTTTTTCAATAAGTTTTAAAAGCCTGATAAAAATGGATAGATAGATTGATATGAAAAGCTGCTGAGCCGCTCTAGATAGATGGATTGATGCATGGAAAGACTCCAATTCAACTTCCTATAGATTTGACCAATGTATATTGACACCCATGATCTAAATGTTGCGTGACCCTGATCGTGACGCAGTGAGAGTTGGTGCACCTCAGGAATGAGGGAGTCCATCACGCTGCTACTCCTGGATAAGCACACCGGCCAATGATTGGCAACCATCTCTATCCCATAAAGCCCTATATCCAAACAAGAGTGGCCTGTAGAGCTCTCTTTCTGTTTAAAGTGCATGTATATATAGAAATACTTCTGCATGTGTTTTTACAGAGAGGCACTGAGGATAAGAGGTCCGTGTGTGGGTGTGGAAATGATGTGGTTTCAGCCGTAGTGGCCAAAGGCACACTGATTGCAAAAAGCAAGCGGAGAGAGTGAAAAAAGAACGGCAAGCTCCTAAAATAAACGCCGTGTCTATAGGATAGAGAAACATGGAAAAAAGCGTATTTTTTCACATCACTTGACTTCGTGAAGGTCATAAGGAAAACAAGACCCGTCACTTACATGAATGCGGTGCATTGTCTGGGTTTTGTGGCGAGTTGCACTCGACAATTTGGCATTATCATAAGCAAAGTTTGCTTTAGTGCGTATAGATGTGCGCTAACTACGTGACCACGCATAGGGGAAGGTTATGAGAGAGATATTACACAATGCACAATGGTGGTCTGGACCCTGGTTATGAATCATCTCCCTTAAAACAATTATGCTTTTTTTTTTTATCTTAAGTATCAGCGCACTTCTCTTCATCAAACGCTCGATTTGAGGTGTCATTCATTCGAGTTGCGGCCTAAAGTTTCATACTTAAGGTTGGCAGTATGTTGAAATCCCCAACCTTTAGTGTGAGCAGTAGTTACAGCGATACTTGCCTTAGCAAGCAGATCTAATGATAGATTGAACAGAACACAGAGAGTTTCTGCTGACTGCTCTTTTTTTGGGGAAAACACATTTAAAAAAAGATAAACAGACAGATCTGCGCTGGGATTTCACCTGTACTGTAAATCAGAAGTGATCTTGCTGAAATTAACAGGCTTGTTGAGAGTTAAACAACTAATTACAAGGCCATTATTAAGTGCACACGCACGCACACATGTAGAAAGAAGCAGACATGTAAGAGCCATTACAAGCTCTGACAGGTTTCTAGAGGGATGATCGCTTCAAAAACAGCCCTGGATGAAAGAATGTCTGTCCCGATCCGACTGCTGAGAAACGGGACAATGTCAAGACACACTCTGGGAAACCGCTGAAATGCTGAGAGGAAGACAAGCTTGCTCTCGTTTTAGACATAGGCAATGAATGGAGTCGAGTTTTGGAGCCGAGTCAGAGCCTGAGGACGCGAGCTGGGTCTGATTATGTGCAGGACTAGCGGGTCCTGGGACGTTTGTCACGTTTTTAGCTCGTCTCTATCCGTGTCGACACTTTGCATACATTTGATCTGCCATTGCAGACGAGAGAGAAAGGGTTCAAAGGCCTCGTATTCCCATGACAATCGCCGTGTCAGTCAGCTCACCCTTTCCACGGAGGGACCGCTTCGAAATGAAACTTTAGAAGGTCCCTTATAATACCTTCATCCCTCAATGTTGTTACAACAATTGGGATGGGAAAAAGGGCTCCGCAGATTGAGATGTTATCGATACTTTTGTCAGAATCTTTCACACTAGTTGCCAGCACAAAGCTCCAGATGTCAGAGGTGGGCACGCAGCCGTAGATCAGGTCCATATGTGCGCCGTGACTCAGGAGTGTGTGTTCTGGAGGAATGGAGTTGGGTCTGACCCGCCGGCCCCTCCACGCTCGTTTAAGCAATGCCTTCACATGTGGAAACCCGAGACGCCTCTCCTGCGTGTTTGTCCTCCATTGTCATCTACCGTTGGTTCAGTCGCTCCATATGGAGCTCAGAGCCAAAAGTATGATGGTTGTATTTATGCGTTTATGCAATCTGTGTGCAGATTCGAATTACAGCGTGATCCAAAACCTTGTTAAACAATAGAAACGGTTCAAATTATCGGCATGCTTATACGTATTATTCCATTTTATACATTATGGTTGATGTAAAATGTGACAAACTATTTTACATTTGACATCAAGTTTGTAGGTAAACATACTTTTACATTTTAAATATATTTACTATATCAGTGCTGTCAAATCGATTCATCACGATTAATCGTATCTAACATAAAAGTTTATTTAATATGTTTGTGTGTGAGTGTGTATATATATATATATATTAGGGCTGTCAAACGATTAATCACGATTCAAAATAAAAGTTTGTGTTTACGTGGGTACACGGTGTATAATTATTATATATATATATATATATATATATATATATAAATGCACACACATACTTGTATATTAAGAAATATTTTCACATATATACTGTAAATAGATTTATATATAATTTTTATATAAATATAAATATTTTATATATAAATAATATTTTTTTCTTAAATATACATGCATGTGTGTGTATTTATATATATATATATATATATATATATATTATATATATATATATATACAAAATAATTATACACAGTGCACCCACATGTAAACACAAACTTTTAATTTGGATGCGATTAATCACGATTAATCGTTTGACAGCCCTAATATATAAACAAATATACACACAAATATATAAACAAACTTTAATGTTAGATCCAATTAGTCGTGATTAAACTAAAACTTTTCGTTTTTAATTAAAACTAAAATTGTGATGCTTTCTGCCCTTGTGTGTGTGTGTGTGTGTATATATATATATATATATATATATATATATGAAGTGTTCAGATGCAAAAGCCTCTAAATGCCATTTGAAATTTTCTTCTTTAATGATGATTTTTATCAAACTTGTATATTTAAGTTCAGTAATTCCACTTAAATAACAATTAATAGGTAATTATCATTGCCATTTAAGTGAAATCACTGAACTTAAATATACAAGCTTGATAAAAATGATCATTCTAGAAGAAAATTTCAAATGGCACTTAGAGGCTTTTGCATCTGAACTCTTCATATATATATATATATATATATATATATATATATATATATATATTTAGCATGCGTGTATATACTGCATAGCCTATGCATAGTGTAGGCTATACACACTCACAAATATATAAACAAACTTTAATGTTAGATCCAATTGGTCGTGATTAAACTAAAACTTTTACTTTTTAATTAAAACTAAAAGTGTGACGTTTTCTGCCCAGTTGTATATGTGTGTTTTATAGAAAGTGAAAGGTAAATGAGTATTTCAAAACTCTTAAAAAGTTTTAAACATGTTTCCCAAAGTATACCCAGGCCTGCCACAATAAAGATCATCTCTCTTATAAAAACTAATTACTACAACTTTATTGTCTGACTAATAGGAGCAGTGGTTGGGACGCTGTCGAATGGCAAGGCGCTGTTGGAGGACTGTGGTTTCTCCTCTCCCTCCCCTGTGTCGAAGCTGGAGAGATGGGGAGGGCAGGCCCATGAGGAGGCAAAGCGCAAACTAGTCAAAACTCACTCTTTCACCCCCCTGCCTGCGGACTGAAGCAGTCGCTGAAGTTTCTTCGTCGTCTGCTTTAGGTTTGGGGTTAAGAGCCCGAACAGCATCTGGAAAGAAAAGAGGGGGAAAGTTTGAAAGGGTTTCCGTATTTCCTGCGCAAAAGGAGGATTTAATGCAGAACTGAAGTTTTAAAGCGCAAAACTTGTGAATGCATGAGCTCTGTGAGGTGGACTGAATGACTCCAGACTGCTTTTGTTCGCTAATTTCTTTAATAAGGAGGAAAAGGCTTTAGTCGCGCCTGTTGCGCACCGCACGCGCAGCGCGTTTGTTTGCGCTCTTGTCAAACTATCGAATGTTTAATTGACACCTGTTGCGTGACGTCCTATTGGACTGTAGCCCGGTGCGTGTATCAAAAGTTTGAAAAAAAATCATTCGAGTCCTTTTCGCGGAACTTTTTTCTTTTCTTTTTTTTCTTTTCTTTTTTTCTTTTTTCTTTTTGCAATGGACAGCGACGTGTTTTGGAGTAGATATGTTTTTCATTTTGTAAGTGAATGAAAGAGAGAGAAACCCTGGAATCACGAGTAGGCTACCAATGTTGAATTGATCGGAGGTGGAATTGTTTGATGTTTTTTTCCAAAGTAACTCTGTAAGCGCTTCGACAGAACATAACGGAGAGCAGAAGACCAAGTTCAGCTGTCAAGACTTCAACTCTGGAACTTTGGAGGAACTTTTGGAGACCTACACTAAACGGATAGATCGAGATCTGCAAACAAGTAAGCTCTAGTTACTACCAAACCTAAAAGATGTAGCATACATTGTTTGGAAAAGATGTTTGTTGATGTGGTTGTTGAGAAAGGTTTGTACCAGCCAGCTTCATAAACCCGATTCATCTCAAAGTTCCTGCAAAAAGTATGTTTTTGCTTAAGGGGGGGTGAGCAGCAGCACCATCGGTTTGAGCAATTACAGAAATTAGTTACAGGAGGAAAATCACTGTCACCTTCCTGAGGTCACACTGCTAGTTGGAGGACTTTTTGTGTAAATGTAACAGGTTTACTGGGGTAAAATATAACTTCTAGTGCTGATTTGCGTTCATGCGGAAGGATATTAAATGACTAAACGAGTAGCCTGTTATCTGAATAAGTAGGATCTCCTGTTTGACCCACAGAAGCTTTCATCTACATTTTTAAAACATAGTTTAAAAAAGTGGAAATATTGAGCAGACAGGGGGTGTTTTAACACTTTACACATAATGGGACCGTGTGTAGGCCTGCGTTTGACACAGCCGTGCAAAAACACTCTCACAGTTATGTTTTATGTAGCTAGGCTATTTTGTTATCCTTTTTAATTGCTGTTTTGCCTGCAAAATAAATGTTTACTGTTTGTTGACCATTTGGATAAAAATAGCATGGAGCAGAAGTGAAATTATTTTAGTGGTATTTTGAGCAAGTAAATTACCACAATAGGCTACATTCACGCACATAATGTGCATGTTTTCTATATACAACACTAGCATTGCATCCCTGCGCACTTGTGCTTGGCATTAGACTAATTTACGTAAATTGTAGATTTATGAAGTACGTAGCCTAAATGTATCCGACAGACAAATATGGAAATACTAGCTAGCCTACATAAAATTGGAGACAAACGGATAAAAACAAATCAAAATTTAAAAATATATATGTTGTCCCCGTTCTCCCCAACGAGTCTTATTTAGGCCAGCAATCGTTTACATAAAGAACACTCGTATCCTGTTAGTTTTATGATAGCCCAATGTCTCACTTTTTACAGTTAATTTTAGACTGGGATACTAAAGGAATCTGAGTCATTTACCGGTCTTTAGTCTCAGTTTGGGGCACATCTTTCGATTTGAGGTCAAATGTTTGAAATGATTATCTGGATCGTGCCTGGACTTCCTTGTGAAAATAGGCTACTCCATGTTATTTGTTGAAACTGAAAAATGATTGACAGTTGCTGGCTTTTGGTGCAGCTTTTAAATAAGCCATGTTTGTCAATTAAAAAAATGGTAGTTTGAAAAGCGCCAGGTACAAATTATGGGGGTTGATTCTTGAAGCCAGGATTTTAAAGTGTCTATTCTTTTACAACAGCTGTTGTTACATATTTGTGGGAAAAATAGATGTGTAAAAATATATAATTAGAAATTAGATTACAAATTAATTACAGCTTAATTAGAGCTATAGGCTCGCGATCGGAAGTTGTTCACCATGAGGACGTAACCACAGCAACGCTTGCCGTCAAGATCAGTACTGGATAGCGACGAAAATCATTATTTATCGTGTTATTAGATATTTACACTTAAAGGGATAGTTCACCCAGAAATGAAAATGCTGTCATCATTTCATTTACTCGCCCTCAATTTGTTCCAAACCTGTATGAGTGTCTTTCTTCTGTTGAACACAAAAGAAGAGAGTTGGAAGAATGTTGGCCCCATTAACTTCCATAGTATTTTTTTCCTACTATGGAAGTCAAAGGAGCCCATCACATATTTGGTTATACCAACATTCTTCAAAATATCTTCTTTTGTGTTCAGCAGAAAAAAGAAATTCAAATAGGTTTGCAAAAAGTGAGTAAATGTTGACAGAATTCGCATTTTGGGGTGAACTATCCCTTAAATAAATATATCACAAAGTAGCCTATTAGTCTTTTGTGTGAAACGTCTTGAAAATATGTGAATAATATATATATATATATATATATATATATATATATGTATATAGTTTCTTTGTAAACTAGTTATCAACATCTCGAAAAAGCTGCATCTTTTGTTTGAGTCTTGCTAATTTATCTTCATCTCAAAGTTGTTGTTGTTTTTTTTTTGTTTTTGTTTTTTTTTGCATTAGCCTACTTTTTCATTAAAATGTTTTCCATGCAAACTGTCAAAGGCATTCACATTGTTTGAAGAAGATTATCAAGCAATAACTATTTGTAACAAAACAAAATTTTTTTTGCTAAAGTAATTCTCCATAAAAATTGCTTTAACTACAATAGGCCTACTTGACATTTTTAACCTTAAATAATTTTTTTATATCCTGGGAGATTGTCACGGATTCCAAACCGTGAAATATTATAAGTCTTAATGTGTTGGAAAATATCTCCTTTCCCGAGATATTTGGAAGGATTAACAAACATTATGCGAAATGTTGCGTGCTTCTGTTTTGTTTGATTATTGCGGATATTTATTGTGTTGCTCTCTCCACAGTTTGTGTAATGTAAAGCTACCTTTTCAGTGCCTCTGGAATGATAAGAAGATTCTTGTCTGCCGGGCCAAAATAGTTTCTAACCGCAAAATATAAACAGGTGTCGTTTAACCAAACATGTGAAGATTTAGATGTACTCTGAGGCTCTCTTTTATCAGCTCCAACTGAAGAACAGACAGTGGGAAGCAATATCTCCTGTTGTGTGTATAAACGCTGGCTGCGGGTTTCATTCCCCTGTATATTTCATGCATTTGTGTTTTACCTTTTCTCCCTGCCAGAGACTGTACTTGTGCAGGTTTAATTGATATGCCGGCCTTGTGTTAAACGCATTGGCCAGATGTGCTGTGTGATGCTTAAAAACGCTCATTCTTACACATTACTTCTTCCCTCTTGCTCTCTGAGGTCAAGAGGGTTCACGTAGTCCTGTACTTTCCTTTTAATGCTCCTTCTTTTTGCGCAGGACGGTCCGTGTGAGAGCAGAAGGGCATCCGTCTTGTATTTGATTATTCCCATTTGTTCTGCAGCGACGTGGTGATTTGAATCAGCATGAATCTGAAAATGTGGTAAAAGTCATCTGAGGATGTGTGTGGAAGCGCATTTGTTGAGGTTTTCCTTTTCTCAATTAGTTTTAAAAGAGTTTGTGGCTGTTTTCTTTGATCCCGCAGCCTAAAGCCTCGTTTTTGAAGGGAAAAGGGTCGGATATCTGATCGAGAGCTTGCTGTTTATCTTCGTTCCTCAAGGGTTTTCCCCTTTTCTCCTTTATATGTGTCTATCTGTTTTTTCCGTGGTATTTGGAATGTGAGTGACGGGGGCTGGGTTGATTAAGACATTGATTCATTTAATGAAATGTTTGAGTTCTGGGGTGGAATGAGAAGCTGCAGACACCAGTCGTGTTTCTGTGGCCAAAGCTCTGGGAAACCTCTCAAAATCTGATTCAGAGAGATAAAACCGTCAACAGCCCACCTGCACAAGCCAACCTGCCTCTCTTGCCTGAGCACGCGCTTCACACACACACATCCCCCATCATCTGCAGCGCACACACTCTTTGGCTCTGTGTCTGTTTTTCTCTTTCTCCTATCACTTACCTTTCTTTCTCTCGCTTTCAGGAAAATGCATACACACAAACCCTCACGCAATCTAACATCAAACCCGAATGCATTCTTCGCACTTTCCTTGAAACACAACTGCTTCAATTACGTATTAGGAATCAAACGTGATCTGTGAGGTTGTTCCTGATCACCATGAATTCACCATGTGTGACAATACTCCCCAGCAGGCCATGCAGTCCATTGAGAAGTTAGGCCTCTTTCTTTTAAGTACAAATATTACCACCCCCTACTCACAAGCACTTGTGCTGGCCTCTGACTCTATCATGTAAGCTTTTCTTTGACTGATTTAAGGACTGATAAACGTGCAGAAGTGCCTACTGTCTGGCTGGAGCCTGATGTGTGGATATGACCCTTTCATCCACATATGAGAGATCAAACTCATCTTTTTTTTTTTTTTTTTGGATAAAAATTGCGTAAAACCTATAGTAAACAGATGCAATAGCCTTGAAATAATTTGACATTTATTTTAAATATATATGAAGAGTTCAGATGCAAAAGCCTCTAAGTGCCATTTGAAATTTTCTTCTAAAATTATCATTTTTATCAAGCTTGTATATTTAAGGTCAGTAATTTCACTTAAATGGCAATGAAGAATACCTATTAATTGTCATTCAAGTGAAATTACTGAACTTAAATATACAAGCTTGTTAAAAATGTACATTTTAGAAGAAAATTTCAAATGGCATTTAGAGGCTTTTGCATCTGAACTCTTCATATATTAGGGCTGTCAAACGATTAATAGTGATTAATCGCATCCAAAATAAAAGTTTGTGTTTGCATAATATATGTGGGTGCACTGTGTATAATTATTTTGTATATATAAATACACAAACATGCATGTATATTTAAGAAAAAAATAGTATTGATATATAGAATATTTATATTTAATATAAAATATATATAAATTTATATAGAGTTTATTCATGAAATATTTCTTAAATCTATACAAGCATGTGTGTATTTACAGTATATATATAAAATAATTATACACAGTGCACCCACATATATTATGTAAACACAAACTTGTATTTTGGATGCGATTAATCGCGATTAATCGTTTGACAGCCCAAATATATATAATAAATCATTCTTATCTCATGCATAGCTAAAATCATAAATTAGCCAAAACATTTAATAAACAACTACACATGGGGCGTGTAAAATGCCAATTCTGCAAAGTTCAAGTAGACTCTTCATGGGCCTGACTATAGGTCAGACGTCATGTGAATATGAGGTTATGGGATCATCCTTTTCCCAGCTATCCCAGACTTATAATGCAGCGTAAACTAAAATCTTGACTTGCTGAGCAGCTATATAACAGTTCTGCATTGCACTGCACTTATTTTTCGCCAGAGATTATGGGCTTCTGGCTGGAGATGTTTCCTAGCTTGTAATCATGTCAGAGCCAGTGTTATTTGTTCAGATGCTCTTTGTACCAGGTGTGCACTC